TATCGCGCAAAGCTGCGTATAATATAATAATGACGTTTCTCGAAAAGAGATATGTGAAACAAAATATCCTTCATTTTGCGTGCGCGTTATCGCAATTATCGCACCGGTGTAAAGTACTAAGTGTAAAATAACGATAATGTTATATTTTCATATAATTTGCATATATAATATGTTATTACTAAATTTATATAATAATATAATTACTAAATTTATAATATGTTATTACTAAATTTATGATCATAAAAAAGTTGTGAAAAAGAAACTGTTAAAATATACAACCGTCTTAGGACAAACCGAAAAACAAGCTTGACGTAAGGTGATCGGGTTCTACAATTATGCACGCACGCGAAGGCTGCGCGCTATGCAAACTAACTCGGCCGCGCTGGCTAATTCGCTCTGATGGTATCAATTTATGATCACGCGCGTGCGATTCGGCATCAGGCGTGACTCTTTCGAGAGAGAACAAAAGCGAAAGCTGTTCGATGAGAGATGTCTGCGGATTCATGCTTATTAGGTCTTCTTTTCTCGTCGATTCGAGATACATGGAATACATGTGTAAATTTTGCAACATCAGCCTGGAATTACACTGTATAATCACTTTATACTGTACAATTACGTTTATAGTGGTCACAATTGTGGCATCTGAGACGTAAAGCACTGAGTTAGAATTTCTACATTAACTCCGTAATGACGCTGTAATAACAAAGTATCAGGTAGCAATTTTCGCTACTAACACATTATCATATTATCGATAACGCTTGTGATATTTTACGTTAACTTTTTTATGATAAATTCATACGAACCACACGAATTATTTCGGATTATCTCGGTGATGGATCATATCATCCAATATTTCCAGATAAATTGACGCATTAATTAATTAATATTCCGTGCACGAATAATTCCCTGACTGATTTCTATCAATACCTGAATCTTGTAAACCGAAATTCCACCGCTGCTGCCCTCTCGGGCTCGGTTTATGACGAAGCTATGACGTCTGCATATCTGGCCTATCATCTTTCATATCTGTGAAACCTTGAAGAATATTTCTGCGAACGCGTATCTATTTAAAATTGCAAAGCGCAGTGACCTTAGTGCGATAGGATCTGTCAAAAGAGCATATAAAGCGACCAAAATGTATCTCACAAAAGCCCGTAAAGAAGGTCAACCGAACTCAAAGGTCAAGAGAAGTCAACTGATGCGATTTGGTTTATGGCGCGAGCTCGTGCCTCTTCCCTCTTCCCTCTCTCTTTCTCTCCTTTGTATTATTGTATTTTCGACGATGATTTACGATAGGAACGAACGCACGGTTTGTGTTTCTTTCTAATTCTTTTTTTTTCCTCACTCGACAACCCACCGCGCTCGACGTCGTAGCGATGCGCCCAGATGCGCCGGTAGGATGTCATCGACTGTACGACCTCAAAGTATCGATCTGACGATCGTTTACGCATTTTCTTTTCTACGCGTGATATGTAAAAAAAATCGATATATGTATCTCTTACTGAACCACATCGTCTTCATCGGCGAGCTGTCATAAATCAATATGTAGGTCGCGTGGCTCATCCGATTTATGTTAATTGCTTATCGTGAAAGCCGGATGTTGTGAAAAGTAAAAATAACTGATTTCGTTTGAAAGAAATTCATCATTTCATTCTCACGATCTACACTTTTTAAATGTTTTCTCTACTTTCGAAATCAGAGAAACGAATGTGTCATTTACATGCTTCTACTTTGCAACGATACGGAGTTAGTCATAAAATCATGTACGACGCAACATAAAATTGTAAAATTAGAAATCCGCAATGAAGCGTATAAAGTCATAAATCGTTTACAGGAAAGTAATCGTCGTCCGTAAAAATCCATAATGCACCTCACACGTAACACAAGCCACCTATCGGCGCGCTTACTTTCCTGAGTTCAACGCACTCAGCTTTGCCAATTCCAATGGATCCACGCTGAATTACTATATACGGAAGCTATAAGAATGGATAAATGCAGAATTCGTTACATAACTGGATACTGTTACGCCACAGTGAATCAAGCTGCTAAGTAGTAATTTTAAGTAAATTAAGTTTAAAATGCAGAGTTTCACGTTGTTAATCCAATTATTTATATATTGCTTATTACATTATTTCGTATCTTCTTTAACATACGGATACATTTTTTTACACCTAACCATCTTTATATAATTTAAAGTTGCACTGGAATATTTTTTCATATATATAATTATATGTAAACTAAAGATTCATCGATTTTCGTGAACCTCAAAAAAAAATTAGACTTTGCTTTTTAACAATTGTGTGTTAGATTACATCAAAATATGTCGAAAGATATTCGCGGACACTTTTATTTGCACATTGGCGCATCGACTTGTATTTGCCCGCGTTCTTTCACGGGTGATATATCGTAATTAAAAACTATGAGAGGACGCGTCGAGCGAGTTTATGAGGTTTATCGCGACCTAGCGAGGAGGAACACATTGGAACGCACGTATGAGAGCGAAGTGCCTCTGACAGATGGCCACCAGAGATTTCCACGAGGAAATCAACGTTTACAAAAACGTCGGCAGATACAGCATGACTATGGCGCGCAGCTTGGAGGAAGTGCGCATAGTTCTTAGACAGCGACGCTAATCGTTGATTCTCGCGATTTGAAACGACTAGTCGCAATTTAAACGGGGCCGTTCGCCTTATTTCCGCAAATTAAAAGTTATATATATCTCTAGCGTTATAGTGTATACATTAACTTGGCTATTCTGTTTGAGTCCATTTGATTTGTTCTTATTTTTTTAAATATGACGGCTCTCTAAATATTGTTCCCGACATCTTCAAATTTCACAGTTTCCTCAATGTTTCCCTTTTACATTCAATTAAAGAGCTTCTTTGGAATATATGTAATTAAAGGAAAATTATCTTAAAAAAAAAAAATATTTCCATATCGATATCGCTTTGTGAGTTAACGTTTACTCCTAAGTATCAACAGACATCAAAATAAAGATAATAAAAGTTCAATAAAATTTATATACGAATGCGTGTGTGTGAATCGAAAAATAAAATTCTAGCCTGAACAATATATATGCTTGGGTATATATTGTCCTGTAAAATCATCGCACAGTACAAAATTGACCAATAGACATTAAGTGATACATCACCATAATTTCGATATCGGGAGTTATGCTCGCATCCGAACAAGGAGCATTTCGTCTAACAATTTCACGCACAGGCATTCCGATTCGTCGCACCTTTATCCGTTTATTTTCTCTTCCTCTCTCTCTCTCTCTTTCTCTTTAATTTTTTCATCCCATTTTAGATCCGCATCCGCGCGCTACTAATAGCTTCTTTATTTAACGGAAACCATCCGAACATTGTCGTGCATCGATGCGATGACTATCGCTAATATGTATTGCTTATTGTGTTGCACTAAGGAATGTTCTAATGAAATATGCTACGAAGAGTATAAACATGGTAAAAGAAGAAAACATCGATAAATTAAAATTACGTATTCTGGAATGTTGTACGACGTTCGCGTGGCCATGGATGCCGGGCGTATGAAATAGCGTTACGATAAGTAAAAGCGAATCGACCGCTTTCACGTGCTTTGCAGTTTATATGCGGGCATTTATAGTCCGGTGAAACGAACGCGTCGCTATCGATCTTTCTATAATTCCAGCTTCGTTCCTAGTTTAACGCGAGACGTGTGATTTATTAAGCACGTGTTCCATCTAATCGTGACAAATATCTAGCGCGGTAACAATACGATATTGTAACATGAACGCTCGACAGCAACTTAGGAACTGTACAAGAAACCGCGCGAACTGAAATTCCTTCCTCGAAATTAATTTGAAGCGAGAGGATCGAGGGAATTCTCGAAAGAAACTGCATTGGCGAGCTTTAGAATCACAAAGAAGCGTGAACGTGAACGTTAACGTGCGCTTTTTTATACGATATAAACATTTTCAACATTAGCATGCTTTTTACATAACGTGCTTGCTCGTTACATTATTCATATTTGATCATAACTGCACAAATTGGTTTCGCTTCTCCACTTATAAGCAGCTTGAATTAGCCTCTCAATTTTCTTTCTCGACTTTTTATAATTACGGTGGCAAAACTCTGATAAAGTAGAGATCAGTGGTGGTGCTATAAAGAGGTATTTATTAAAATAGAGAGTTTAGCTTTATTTATTATTTACAAAATTAGTACAAGAGGTCCGTTATTTTTCTATTAAATTTTTATTAATTGAAATTAGAATTATTTAGAATTTTTTTAAAGAAAAGTTAAGAAATGCCTTTGTATAAAGAACAGATATTTATTGAAAAACTAATTGATATAAGAAATAAAATTATTTCGCAACGGCATGCAGATTTACTATCAAATATCAACATTATTCTCAACTCTATGACAAACTTCCTGCACCGACTTTATATTCACCAGAGTTTCCTGACTGAATCATATTGATTGTATCTTATCAGTTTATTACCTAGGATAGAATATAGAAGATTGACCTGACTAATGTATTTTTAATATTCTTTTATGGGTTTTCTGTAAAAGGAGAATCCGACGTAAAAACATGCTTTTCAAATATTCCATAGTGTACATTAACGTTGATATTATTTATTTTTAGAAATTATTAAAATTATATTAAAGTAATATATTAGAACACCGCAGCATAAATTCATTTCGTCCTTATATCACCCAAAAATAATCATTGCTGCAATTCGATGGTTTAAATATCTTATCGGTAAAAATACATTAAAAGACCTATATTCGAAAACAACTTATTACAGCTTATCGGTAGTCATTTGGAGTAATTCGAGGAACGTGTCAATTGAAGGCGATGATACAAAACACCCTTGTTGAGCCAATCTACTGCGTTTAGGCAATCAATTTATGTTACGTTTAGGCAGTAAATTTATGTGACGAGATACTGTTTTCTCTTTCAGTCAGGGAAAACTACTGACAATTTCGGAAAATTCACCCTCCTTCCATCGCCAAGCTTACCTTGTCGGGAATGAAGTCAATGGCAGCAAACCGACGTCTTCCGGTCGTTACATAAAATTCCTATGGTGCACCGCGGAAAAACACCCCCGCAGCTGCAGTCCCGTCGATCAGTTCTTCTCGGCAAAGCACAGGTGTCATCGCACTGTCACGATGCTTGTGATTCACGATCGCCCCATCAAAGATGATTCCGCAGTGTTTCAGTGTTTCTCTTTCTCTTTTATTTCTCTCGCTCGTCTCTCTCTCTCTCTCTCTTCCCTCTCTCTCCCTTTTTATATCTCCCGTACGTAACGTATCGGTAATCGCGACTCGTGAAACAATCGAGAATTTCGGGGAGTGGATGGAACGTGAGCCTCGATCGATGTCCGTGCGCAGACTGCCCGCAGCACATCGCCGTCGTCGGTTGCCTCGCGTTCGTCATACTACAGTCCCTCGTTGCCTCTTTCTCCCGCGCCTGTTTCCGCTCTTTCGTTCTTGCTTCTACCGCATGCCCTCGTCTTCCAACTCATCCGCCCATCGCGAATTCTCGCTCACGATAACATTTAAACATTATGTGATAAAAAGTCAGAAATGTTGTACAGAAGAACATGAAAACGTTACGCGGGGTATCCCGTAATTTGCACTCCTAATTTTCATGGCTCAATTTCGAATTAATTTTGAGTTAATTTGCCTTTAATGAACATATCGGGATGCTTACGATTTATGGACATTTAAAAGGAAATTGTTTTGCGTGCACGCGCGTGACTGAGCTTGAGAAACAGAAAATAAATTCATTTTCCCCGGTTGATTGCAGATAGATTTAAATTTCATAAAATTTTAATTCAAAGTTTAGTTATGAGAGAAAGGTTTTTGTGACACGCACCTGTGTGGAGTGATATAATATTGAACATCTCAAAATTTGTGCTTTCTGTACGCGTTAGGAAAAAGATATCAGTACGAAGATAAAAACTTATATGATCGTTACGTAAATACAGAATCATTATTAGACAAAGGATCATTTTAGTCTACTAAAATCATTTAATTTATTAAAATCACGCATTTGCTCCCAACATTACTGAATTAGTCCAATAATGCTTCTCTATTTATTATCTAATGACCGTATAACATGAGTATTGGTTTTCTTCTTAATATCTTCTTGCTGACGTTACTGCAAATTTTAACGTTGCATGTAACTTACAAGTAATCCGTTTCATACTTTCGGTCATTATTAATGGATCCTGAGGCAGTATCCAATACTTACTAATAATATGTTTACACTTGATGATTTAACTTTTCAATGACATTCTCTCAACTATTTTACTATTTACCATTTATTTCAGAAAATATGCAATCAAAGAATCGCTAGTATTATTTACTAAATTCCATATTATCTTCCGAAGATATAGTCATCCATTTCATATGTTATCGATGGTATTTCCGCTATTATAAACTTAGGAACATGCTGTGAGATGACACCACAATTCGCTTTGCTTTAGCTTCTGATTAGATAGCATTAAAGCTATTGGCCGTAGATACTATTTCACGACTGCCGCGGATAATCGGAAAACACTGACATTACCGATTGTTTCAACCATCGGTACTGTGGATTTGCCCACAAAAAAGTATTAATTTTAATATATTCCCAATTATTTCTCCTATGCAGATGATAATTATAATATGAATTTAATTTTACACACACATACACACAGAAACGTTTCATATATTGCAATTTATAATATATATGAAAAGATAATAATAATAACTAATAATAATAATAATGATACTAATGATGTAGTAACTCGGTAAATATTTTAACGATATAATGGCTTAAAATTGTAGTCTGACATTCTCGAAAATTTTAAATCATTATCACGCAAAATTTTCAGAAAGAACAAAATTTAATTTTTACATAGATATTTATACTTTTATATTTCTTCATCTAACAGCTGCACGTAAATTGAAGACAGAAGGAGAAAATCAACGGAAAAGCAATTTGTTAAGAAAACGAATTCTAATATTCTGGAAATCCTTTTTATTAGACGTTCTTCAGGCGTCTTTCGCATTGTTTAATTGTAAAATTTCGACTGTTTCGCGCATACGAGAAACAATTAATTTTTCTCGCTCGTCTTGAAGAACCGGAAGAACGCATGATACACCTTCTCGCATTCTCTTCGCAATGAACAACCATGATTCCTGAAGGAAGGAAGATCGGTGCACCTTCTTACGGGCGAGACGCCTTCGGCGGACGCACGCGCGATCTACGTGAGTGAGCTTGACATTCGGCCCTTTTTAGATTTTGGGCATCTGCCATCAGAGATCGGGGATCGCCCAGCAGCAATGTTTAATATTCCGTCGACTATGCAACGACGCGCGTCTCCACATGCAACCAGTTCGTCGCCGACGAGCGCCAAGTGCGCAGCCCACGACGATTCCTCTCGGTCTCGAGCCGCGTTTGAATCGGATCTCCTGCCACCTCGCGACAGGTGTTCGACTCGCGATTCCCGAAATCTCACGATCCTTGCAACCGGCTAGAAATTAATCCTACCTACCAATATCCGGGCGCTTGGCGATTCCGGCTGTTCGAACGCGGAAGCGTTTCCGCCTCAGGACACGCTGAAAACTTGGGATAGCCTTGAGAAGCGATAGATCATGGAGTGCATGAAGATTTTCCGGCTGTAAACAGAATTCTTGGTTGTGAATAAAAAAAAAGAAAGAAAAAAAGATGAAATACGTGGATTCAAGTTGTTAACGATGGATGACGAATAATAGAGAGACGTTCCGAATTATGAAATCTCTATCAGAATTGTGATTAAACGAGTTAGTATGCCGGATATATTTTTTATTCTGCTATTAATCGAACATATATTATGAGAAGGAATTCCTTCGTTAAGTTCTGCAATGTAACGCGGTATATATTCAGTGGCAGCTCGATGTTAATTTTGAAAGCTGTTGCGTGGGAATTGCCATAAAGAAGTAAAACTTAAAATAGAAGAGCTAACAATTCATTGTTAGTTAATCCATTCTTTTAACGTGTGGATTGAATATCTACTTGTCGGGGAAAATGCTTTCGCAGAGGATTAAACGAACGTCGTAAATCAGAAAGTTATTAATAATGGCAGTAGACTGTGTGACGTCAACTGATCGCGAACGGCTAACGAAAATTTTAAATTAACTCTCGCATCGCATATACTCAAATCGGCCGCCGCTCCAGACAGCTGGTTCTGTAAATTGCATAACCCGGAAGGGACGTCGACTTCTTGTCGATCAGTTTTCATGATTCAACGCGACGACGCGTGGATGTGAAAACGGTGAGAATATATATGTTCGACGGATGCATTGGTGTGTGCGATGAAAAATTACTTCTGTGAGTGAAGGAGAGATAACAAAAGTGCTAAGTATAAAATGTGTTAGGTAAATACGTACTAAGTTGAAAGTTGCACGTTGCACGTTGCACGGTGAGTCGATACTATAATCGTCAGTATAAATCTTGTGCATATTGTTTAACATTTGAAAAGGAAATTACTATACAATATACATAAAAGGACACACATAATACACATAATACCGAAGAACTCTGCTATACTCTATAACTAGGAGGATCATTTGCGCAAATTAAATTTAGAGCGTGACAAAATTTGAGTGGTACAATGAAACCCAGTTGGAACGTGCTGAGGCGCATAAAGGTGCACTTGTGAACGTGAAAGCGGAAATTTGTTGATTGATAATTCACGCGCTTCCGTGAAGTGGTAAATATCATCATATAACGCGATGAATATTGAAGTGATGATGATGAATCTCACGATTAACTTTACATATGAATGATGCAGTTGATTTGCGAAATACATTGAAATTTCACTGATGCTTTTCACGTTGACGGGAGGAAAAGAAAGGAACATAATCTCCTGCATTTATACACGTGCACCTATTCTACGAAGGAAAAATTTATAACTGACAGCATATATTTATCCATATGTTCGTTAATACCCATGTAGACCCTTAAGTAGACATGTCCTTGGCCAACATTCAAAATTCTATTTTCCTGCATGTGACTAAGATTGATTCAAGTTTTAATTAGCAGCACAAATTAACGATGGTTTCACGAAGATGATTTAATACAATTAAAATTATTCAACTCGTAAAGTGTGTTAACAAGATCCAATTGAAAGCTACCATCCGCAAATCTACTTAAATATTCTACTTAATATATTGTTATTTCAAATTATAAAAAATTTGAAAATATGATCTTTTATATAAAGTATTAACTCATTATACTTTTATATAAAGTATTAACTCATTGTAATTCTATCGGTTTCAGAGACGCGAACGACAAAAGTAATTTACGAACATTTTATCTCGGTGCGACATAACGTGATCTTATTTGTATTTTAGTTATGCGTTATTTATTTTACAAGTGAACTTTCCTATACCTAATTACAAGACGGTGAGGAAATTTCAGATTTTCAAGGTTGAAACTCGAACGTGCTATATACAAGCAGACGAAATACATGACACAATTGACATATTCGAAAGATTAATTACTCGTTTTAAACGATTATTTATTATACGCTACAACAACGCATTGTCTTAAAAAAACACTTGTAAGTTTGTAAGATATGTTTGATCCTTAGTTGGAAGCCGATTAAGTAGCGCGAGAAACACCTCTCTTATACGAAAGAATTTTAATTTCCACATTTCGCCAACGACCGACGCATTCCGCCGAGTGTATTTTCGGTAAGGTCGCACGGAAATATAGTGCGATCATCAGACGATCCGTCAGACACGCCGACGACATCGCGTACGTACAGTGCTATTAACGACGTCATCGCGCCCGCGATTGCAAGCGTGGGCTACTTACGCCTGGTCACGATACGAATGACTAAGAATGAAGATATTACAACAGGAATTATCCCGATCACCCAAGATAGGATACGCTCGAATTGAAAGCGAAGCGACACGATGCGAATCATCGTGTATTTTATGTAATAGCTCGTTCGCCAAGAATGCCACGCGCTTCGATAGAGCCGTTAATTTCGCAAAATACGTTGAAGAAATATGCAATACGTCTGCGTTAATCGTAAAATCATCCGTCGTGAAATGGTTAAATTATTACATATGGTGTCAAATTCATCACGTCAACTTTTAACTTTTATTCATACATTAGTGGTATTAAAAGCCAAACCTTTGCTTATTTTAACGTCAAATTGCCAAATTCAAATTTGTTCATCATTTTTATCAATTTAAACGTATCTATAACTGTAGTAATTTGTAATTGGAAAGTCTGGAACGCCTAAGACAATTTAATTGACTGAAAATGACTGACAAATTGTAACTTTTAAGTTCGTACAAAGAGGAGGAAAATATCAAGTGATCCAAAATTAAATACAATTGCATATATAACACAAATTGCGAAGACAATTAAAGATAATTTACAAATGAATTGGCATTTTAATTTCATGAATAATTCGACTCCGTAAGTTACGAAAAAAAAAGAATTGATCTGAGAGTCCGCCGCGTAAAATGGGAATTTCTTCTTCATGTACTTCAAATAATTTTTCTCGCTATAATCAGGAAATAATTTGAATGAAAATAGGAAAAGAAGTCGAGTTATCTCTCAGATATTCGGAGCGTTTCAGAGATCGAACAATAACAACGAAAGTGCCAAGTGCGCGAAGGCAACCGCCGCCGTTGCAAACGAGCATCGTTCTGGCCGTGATAAATGCACCCTCGAGGTGTCGATCGACAAAGTGCGTCCCAAGGTGCAGCCGCAAAGGTCGCGCGCCCGGAAATCTCGTGTAAATTGTGTGTTTACCCAGACACAGTGATTACATCGACGCCCAAAGTTATATTTACCGTTCGCTGTCGCATATTGGCGCGATTCCCGAGAGACTATTAGACATTATTTACGGTGTGTCCTGAAAGAAAAAAAATGCACGTAAAAATTCTTGAATCGCTACACGCCATTGGCTCGGTGACGTCTCGCCTGTGACGTGTGCAACCGTTTTTGGCGTCATATCATATGCAACTTGAGACTTCGTCCAGCTCATAGTTGTGACGAAATGCAAAACGCTGAGAATGATGCAGATTCGAGCACTGTGTTTCTGACAAAACTAAATTAACACATTTGAAAAATTAAAAAAAAAACGGTTTCTCTCGTGGTATGAATATAAAACATAGATGTAGATGAACAGTATAGTGTTTAATTAGAGATATTTAATAAGAAGTTATGTACTCATAACGGAATTTGACGTTCGTCAATTTACGTATTTATCGATAGCAAAAATCCCACTCACGACGTGACTATTTTGCACATTTAATCTTCACTTTTTCTGTAACAAGTACTTACATTATGACCGTTTCCATAGTGTTAACCATACAAACCAACGAATCTAGGCCTAGATCGTTCCGTTTTTAATCGGCGTTTCGCATCTCGCGGTGTATTTCTGGCAAATGATGCGATCGCGAGTGCTTGCCACAAGTGTCATCGCGGTGATCTTGAATAGCGAGGAAATTCTCAAAGGATCGAAAGCTCTCCTAAATGGATGCTTTCTCGGCGGTGTGCTCTACAAACGATCGTTTGGCGCCGCGAGTGATCGTAAACCGGCTTTTAATGGTGCGTGGTTGTTTTAGACAAGAAAGTGTTATATATCTACACGCCCCGTCGTTCGTGGAAAACTTGCGAAATTGCATTTTACAATGGGACAAATTAATTGTCTACTGGCACAAACCTCAGTGAAGCTACGACAGCGACAGCAAAATATCACTCGCTGAACGTCTCGAGCACTGCAAAAGACTGCTAGACATAAAAGTGTCGAGATAGTTACGGCAGCTGGCCGGCAGAAAATAAGATGTTTATACGCGTAGATTAAAATATTACAATGTAATATTTTATATCTCGATATATATTTTCTGAAACGACAAATATTGTTTTCCATTATATTATGAATTTTCCTGTCAAAACCTGAATTAATAGTACAGTCTCTCTCCTGAAATTTTTGATTGGTGAATTAATCTAACACCCTTAAATTAATTAATCGCAAACACATAAAACTAATTATTCATCTTACAATAGAAATAACATAATCGAAACAACTTCTACTGTAAATCTAGAATTAATTATCTTTTGAAATAAAATATGAAATATTTTACAAATAATCTATTTTACTTTTCTATAAACTCGTACCTCTACATTCTCGTTCCTTGCTCCTCAAAATCACATATAGTCTTATTTCAAGTCAACAGATTAAGTGACCTAAAATAAAGAATCTGTAAAACGCACTATCGATTGTCAAATGATGTAAAGTCGATTCTCTTAGTCGTTAATTCATGTTAACTTGCCGATTCTCTAGTTATATTCGTGAACCTGCGAGACATTCTCTCATTGCCACTGATAATTCGAATCAAGATCTAACAGGACGTCATAACTTAATTTTTATCGATTATGAAGCAATGTGTAACATATATCGGCATGAATTAGAAATAAATTAATTTTGATATCGTGACAGAAATGCACTACATCTTTATGCAATTTTTATTTAAATCAAACAATATAAGAGAAAAATAATTAAAAAAACTCAACATATCGCTGAACTAGTTTACTCACTACGATTGATTGTATAAACGATTATAGTGATTGCGGCGTAATTTTATTTTTAGGTTCGATAGGAGTAAACTTTAGGAAGTATGAGTAACAACGTGCTCGCGAGCGCGTCGTTCTCGAGAAGAAACTGGCACGGTGTTCCTGAATGGATAAAACATGACGGTCTCTTATCAGTACGAGGTCGCCAGTTCCACCAGCGGTGGATTCACCAGGCTCCTCTTTATGTGGCGTGGTTCCCTCTACAAGCTCATCTACAGGGAACTGCTGCTCTATCTAATTCTCTTCGGAACCATGTCCGCACTTTATCGCCACGTTTTTACTATTTCGCAAAAAAAGTGAGTGCATCTCATTAAAAATATATAAATTATTATTATTTTAACTAATGTTATTGATAATTCAATTTAAGAAATATCGAGCGCAAACTCAAAGAAGCAAACTTATTTTACCATTCATTATGTCGTCATAGACTAACTAATTTATATGACAAACTAAAAGTAATAAAATTATAATTAATTCATTATGTACGATATTAATAAGATGTATTTAATATTTCTGATATGGCTGTTCAAATGTTAAAATGACGTGTAATATATTACAGGGAGTTCGAGAAAGTTGTTCTCTACTGCGACATTTTGATTAAATCAATTCCGTTGAGTTTTGTGCTCGGATTTTACGTATCCTACGTCGCGCAAAGATGGTGGAAGCAATACAAGGCTATACCGTGGCCCGACAAGTGAGTTACAGAAACATTAAGACAAAATATATCTCAAATTTTTCAATTAAATTTTTTAACAACAAAGAATAACGTTTCTAAAAATTCAAGAAACTTTTACTATTCACCGTCATCAGTATTTTATTTCTTCTTTAACAATACCTGTTAAAAAAAAGTATTGAAACGGATAGTATTGAGATAACTGTTAAAATTAAAGGAAAAGCAATTAACTCTCCAAACTTGAAGTCTTTACGTTTTTATGACCCTGGTTTCTCTCTTTTGCAGAGTGATGCATCTTGTGGCGCTCTACATCACTGGAAATGACGAGTACAGTCGGATGTTGCGGCGGTCCTTGATGCGTTACTTGAACCTCTCCTTGATACTCGTCTTACGTTCCATTAGTTCGGCAGTGAAGAGACGATTCCCTACCCTCGAACATGTTGTTGATTCCGGTAAATGATTCGGAACGACCGTCGCCATAGTCGGCGTGGTGACAATTAAAAATTAACGAGCATGTTGCAGGCTTCATGACTACATTGGAGCTCGAATTATACCAGTCGGTGCCGAGTGTTGAGTTTAACACATATTGGATACCATGCACATGGTTCATTAATCTCCTCAAAGAGGCACGTATGAACCACAGACTGCCCGACGCACAAGGCTTAAAGATAATTATGGAGGTGCGATAAACGCTTCACTTTCTTATTATCTTCCTTTGTTTAATATTTTGGAAACATTGACGACAGTCATATATTTTTTTAATATAAGCATCTTTATTCTATATGTCAGCGGGGGGACGGTAATTCCACATGTTACGTAATATTGGGACGAAGCAAATACTTTGGGACAAAGGGAAGAGGGAGGGAAGTAAAAATATCCCAATTTGGCGTGGCATAATTATTAAATGGCGCCTAACTGATTTTCTTTTAATTAATAATGCTACATTTTTTTAAACATAATCATTACATCAGACTGTGTCCTCTTTCAATTTTTTCTCCTTTTCTGTCATATCGGTCCTGTTACGATCAGAAACATATTCGCTAGTACAGTAACGCGTACGCTTTAATAATCACCGATGGACACAGGAACGATTATATTTTGCGGGCAACTACTGTTACGGTGAGTCGATATACGACGGGCCGAAAAGATTGTAAACCGTGTCGCGGACCATCAAGCCACAAGCTTTATTTGTCGCGATTAGGCACGCATGTCCCGATAACATTATGCGCGCACATGAATGATCCAATAAAAATTGCTAGAGATAATCATTATTTTCTTTTCACATATTACAAGCGTGAGTCTACTTTTACGCGTAAAATACCCGCGATAAATGATTTGGCAGTATGACGCGCGAGCAAATTTAGGAAGAAAGAAACAGACGGGAATATTTACATTCGATCATCCACGATTAATTAAATTATTTTCTAAGTAATATAAGAAATAATTAAATAGATGATTAAATGTCCTCCTCGCTTGTCAAGTAAACAATTAACCAATTCCGGAGAGTCATACCTTAAATATCTTCTTTATTAAGATTAATGAGAACTATTCCAATGATTGCAGGAATTCAACGAATTTCGGACGAAGTGCGGCCTTTTGTGGAGCTACGACTGGGTGTCGATCCCTTTAGTATACACTCAAGTGGTGACGCTCGTTACATACAGCTTCTTTGCGGTCGCTCTGATCGGCCGGCAACACATCGACGGTGTCGAGAAGGAATTCCAATTGATGATAGACAAGTACTTGCCCATCTTCACGATCTTGCAGTTCTTTTTTTTCATGGGATTGTTGAAGGTGGCCGAGCAACTGATAAATCCTTTCGGCGACGATGACGAAGACTTTGAACTCAACTGGATGATCGATCGTCACATCAAGGTGGGAACATAATTAAAACGTTTTCCAACAATCTCCCAGCGAACTGTAAAGTGCAATATTTATATGTACTGCAATATTTATATGTGCTCACGTTATATGAACGCCAGGTTTCGTATCTCGGAGTGGACACGCTGATGAACCGCTGCCCACCACTCGTTAAAGATATCTATTATGACTCTGAAAATCTGAATCTACCTTATACGGAAGCAGCCGCAGCTTATAAAAAGAAGACGTATCGCGGTAGCGTGGCGAACATGACGTGAGTATATTTCACAGGTTGCTTAGAATAACATATAAGAGACGTTTAGAGATTTCATAATTTATAAGATTCAGTTCTGTGTAAACCCAGGCAGCACAATATCCAAAATCGGGACATTTTGCTGTCTGGGTAAAGTCGTTTATAAAATAAATTTCACGAATTACACAGATTTTACAAACAATTTTATTTTAAAAAAATATGCCTCGAGCCAATCTTTTCTGTTTTGCTTGTTTATTTATATTAATATTAACATATTTTGCGCTATTTTATTGTTTTTTCGCATATCTTTGTATTTTGCTGAGATTAAATTTGAGAAAACAATTTTTTTAATTTTCGCTCGAAGTTCGCTCCAAACTTCACCAACTAAATTCTAACATCGATTTTTTTATTGCGTCTTCAGAGTACCCGAGGAAAAACAAATGATGTTTTTACCTGATATTTTGGAGGAGGAGGAGGAGGAAGGAGGCAAAGGAAATACACCTCGTACTTCCACTGCGAGTTTATCAAACCTAAACGAGAGTCCAGTAATCGAAAAGCGGTAAAGTTACAATTACGGCAATTATCACTTTATTCTTACTAACTATTATTATCCAGTAACGGTGTTATGATTTCTTCGCGTTTTGATAGTTTTATTTCAATATTTAAATGTTTCTTGCCTCTTCACCAATTTACGATCAGGAAGTATGTTTATTAAAATTTATTGGTCAATCCAAAAATCGTTTCCACTTTTAAGACAAAATTACAACACATTCAACGTTTTATTTTACCAGATTTTTTTCCGATTTCTCCTTTGGTCAGTCGTCTTTTTCTAACATCAGAACGAGTCTTCAAATTTAACAAATTTCATTTTCCCAAGGACAACACGAAACAAGAACTCTATTAAATTATACTCGTTTGTTTCAGCCAGATCAGCGGGTCCCCTTCAACGACTAGAAAGATGGCTCGCAATTGTTCTGAGACGGTTGTGCAGCTGGATGGTCAAGAGCAGCCGGCCGAAGGCGAACAGCGACGCGTTCTAGTCGAGGCCGTCAAGAAATTTTCCTCGTTGGCGAAGGGCCCGACGTCACGCCCCGAGCTCAAGAAGTCCTTCTTCCCTGTCCTCACAAAATCGTCTAGACCGGTAATGCGACCCTGGCCGAGCACGACGAGCATTTCACGTCATGCTCAACCGTCGGCTTTCACACCGACCATCGTCGAGACTGATCCTTGGGCTAACGATTCGAGCCAGAATAGTCCAAACTCGGCGGAAGATCCCGAAGAACAACAACCTAGCGTATCGTCGCAGGGCGAGACAAGCCAAGAAGGCGTCGCGAACACAGCTTTCTCCAGCGATAAGCTGAAAAACATACCGGATGATCGCGACGACACGGTGGAGAGACACTCCTCGGAGCCTGGTCCCACGTATCAATGCACAGTGGGCTGGAAACCCACCACTTCTGCCAAAATTCGAAGACTCAGTAATTGATCCCTGAACAGAAGCGCATCGAATGATATCACCAGGTTGGGAGACGACTGATCCGTGTATAGACATAGGAATCCCGTGTAAAGGACTACTGATATTATGGGAACGACCCTAAGTCGAATCAAAAGCTCAACGAATTTGAATAAAAGATTCCTTAAAGAGATAGATGAAGGATGCATCAAGGAATCGATCCTCCATCTCATGAAGGGAGATAATAAATTGGATTATAAATTTAGCATACATGGATTTCCGTTTGTATATTTTACTGATAAAAACAGTCGAATGCCACAGTGATGGCACGCGAAGAAACCGATTTACATCGGCGTAAAATTTCTTGTTTTTTTTTTTTTTTTACGTCGTGATCCAATATCGTTGCAGTAAGAAAACGAGAATTTTTACAAAATTTTGTGGCACTTTCTCGTAAGAAAGCATTCAACGCGAAAGTTAGTCTATATTTTGTTCCTTTCACGAATGTTTTTCTTACACGCGCTATCACGGAATTTGATCAAGTCTTTTGTGATGTCCTTTTATACATACAGTTAAAACAATATTAGTATAAAATAACAATAACAGACATCGTATGAAATTAATATCAGAATATCATAAAAATCTATATTTTTGGTAAATAATCAATTATTATAGTTGCTTACAAAATTATATCAAGCGGCATATAACAGAGAACCAATAATATTTTTGATGGCGATCAACGAAGTATTTTCCCTATATCTTCATTGTAAACATAATTACGATTATATCAAAGTATGATCATTTTCGGGACCGATTACATCTTTTCCTAAATTAAAATTGATAACTGTTATAACATAGTATTATAACATAGTGTTATAACATAATATTACGTCATCAATCGCCAAAGTGTTAATATACGTTCAAGACCACTTCTAATACCGTTCATAGAGCACTTACGAATGTCTATGTAAATATTGTAAATATTGTAGAACATATACTCCAATATTACATAAAAAGAATAAAACAGTTATTTATTTATTAGATATATGCAAAAATTGTTAACGGCATCTATTATTTGCTCTCTACCAACAATTAAACAGTTAATCATTGAACGACTCACACACAGCAGAAATATCTAAACACTCCTAATTGCTGATTATTGCTAATAAACCGGTAAAGATGCTCCAAAGTAGCAGTCATGGTGCACGAATATTCAAAAATAATGTGCCTTATTCGAAATTGCCGATATCACTATGCCTAGGGAATACCAAAACTTTCTTGTACTTCTCAATCAGTTAAGACAATAATGTTTACATATTTCGATTCCTTAATCAATTTCGAATAAATGAGTGAGAAAAAAAGTTGGTAACTCGCAATAGGTAAATAACAACGTTCATTTGTTTACATCGACGCGCAGCGGCGCGAACTGGACGCGGCGCGAGCTGGACGCGGCGCGAACTGGACGCGGCGCGAGCTGGACGCGGCGCGAACTGGACGCGGCGCGCTGTTAGTAAATCATTTGGGTGTATTTTTTGAAGAAAATGGGAAAATTTTGATAATATTATTTTATCTTATTAAAACAAAACATAGTTTTATGTAGCATGTAATTTGTTTAAACAAATTCATGTNTGTACTTCTCAATCAGTTACGATAAAAATGTTTACATATTTCGATTCCTTATTCAATTTCGAATAAATGAGTGAAAAAAAAGTTGGTAAACTCGCAATAGATAAATAACTACGTTCATTTGTTTAGGTAGAACGGTCAATAAGGAATATTACCTGCAAGTTATGCGCAATTCGCGCGAAGCAATCCGCCAGAAACGCCCGGATTTGTGGGAGAACAAAAATTGTCTTTTGCACCATGATAA